TTCGAACAAAATTTGCACCAAGAACAAATAAGTAGCAACATTAGTACCCTAAATTTACAATAGATTTGCTCAACTAGCAAACTTAGGCAAATCCGTTTTTTCGTCCAGTGGGATTTGAATAACGTTCATCGGGCGCGCAAGGTTTGGCGCCGTCTTCGGCCGGTTCGCACCAATCTAGAGAATTCATATTCGATCTTTTTTGGGTTTTTCTCTTCAACAATCCCAAAAATCTGATATTGGGGACTGGGGCTAGCATGGCGAACGAATAGGTCGTGTAATGTTGAGCAGGAGGCAGTGATTGCAATTTTTCACCTTTATACGTCCCTAATGTCTTCCAAAAGGAAAGGCAGATCTGGCGCAGCATCTCAATCTTCTAATCAGTCACCTGAAGAGAAAAGAAGCAAAAATAGTGAAACGGACGAAGTGTTTGAAGCGCTGGAGATGGCGGAGGACGTCGGTCTGAAACTGCAGCGTGTGCTGGATAAATTATTACAAAAAACTCGATAAGATAGAAGCGCATCTTAGCGAGGTCTCTGCCAGTGTTGCTAGTATTGAGGAGAAAGTAACTCGTTTAGATGAAGATGTACAAGACCTGAAGCAAAAAACAAACAGCGTGGAAAAGAAAGCTTCCGAATTGGAAGAAACTATCCAGTTCAACCAAGACGGCATTTCAAACCTAAAGAAAGAGTCAAAGGAGTCAAAGTTTTAAAATAAATGATCTTCGCAAGCAGTTGTTGCCTTTAGAAACCTATTCAAGAAGATAAAATGTTAAATTCTTTGGGATTGAAGAAGTAGTGCCGGTTTCTCAAGTTGACTCCCCACCCGAGGATACAAGAGATTTAGTGTTCAAATTGCGGGAAAACAAGCTTCGTATTGAAAACCCTCGTGGTAGAATCGAGTTCCAGAGTCCATCGACTGGGAAAGCCTAACAACAGCAGTGACAAACCTCGCCCAATTATCGCACGTTTCTTACGATATTCGGACAAGGAAATGGTGATGGATCAAGCCCGCAAGGAGTTAAAGAGGCAAGAGGACAAACAATTTTCGGTGTTTGACGATATACCAAAGGAACTTTATGAAACAAGAAAAAGTCAGATGAAAAAGTTCAAGGAAGCCAGAGGCAAAGGCTGTACAGTTTATTTCAGCAAAGCGCAACCAGATAAGTTATTTGTTAATGGTAAATATATCCCTGCAAATGCTCCATTGACAGATTTTGTTTAGGTACGAGCACCGCTCTCTATACATTTCCAGAGATAAAAAAGTACATGTAAATGTAATACTCTCATCCGAGCTTTTCTTTCACTCTGCTCTCAAATAGTCATGTATTTGCATATAATTTCCTCGCAATCTGTTGTAGGCGTTAATTACATTCACTTTTAAACTTTCTTTCCGAATCACTGTCTCTAAAGCTCGACTAGGCTTTTGCTGTCGTACCAAACCTGCAATCTCAAACAACTTTACTTAGTTCCACTCCAGAGCGCAGCATTCGAGATAGTTATCTTGCTGCTCTTTTAATTGTTTTTATCAGTATTAACACTACTAAACAAAAAGCCATTGAAATCTTGTCAATTTATTCAGGGGAAATTCACAAGATTTTTATGCCTTATTGACCAGATTTTCATGGCCAAAACTAAGGGTATTTAATTTTTCTGGGGTTCAACCTATGAAAATATCATTACAAAAGCCATGAAAATAGTTTGAAAAATTCCCAATTAATGGCCCATGAAACAGTCTAGATTATAAGAAATGCAATGAAAAACACATTAAAAAGCCATGACTTTTTTTAATGACTCATGAATTTGACTTGTTATGGCATTTTCATTGTGTTCAGGAAAAGGCCATGAAATATATCCAGATTTTTCATGGTGTGCAAATTCATGGTAATTTAATGGGATGGAAAATTCATGGGTCACGATTATCCCCTTAACGGAGAATTTTTAATGGGCCATGAAGATTCTCAGAGTACTTTCTGACCTTTTGACAGCATTTTTATGGCCCATGAAATGTATTTTGTTCCTCGTCCTCTGACATTTTCATGGGTTAAAGTAATGGCTTAATGGTACAATGAAAATGGCGTTAAAACCCCATTGAAAGTCAATCATTTCAAAAACTATGCTTACCTTAAAATCTTTCTCACTGTGCTTTCTTATATACAATTTACACCCGAAACCAACAGGAGCATCAATCTGCTTTCATAATAAATTTATTTTACCCACTAAGGTGATAGATACAGTAAGTCATTTCAATCCTTTAGTTACAAGAGCATAAAAATCTTAAATGCATATGAATTTAAAATAAATAGACTTAAGCTTCTTTTTCACTAATATTTTGATTCACTGCCATGCTAAAATCATATGATATAATCATCATTTGTTTAAATGTTTCATAACTTTCATACTTTTCACTTTTTAACCCTTTAAACCCTAAAATCTAAAATTGAATTCTCTTTTGTCACCCCTATTCATTTCCTACAGAAGTAGTGGGGAGAAGTTGATGAAATAATATCGAGCAAAATCGTCTTGTATGATCATGTCTGTAATTCTCATGACCACTCTGTTTTACAAAGCATTGATATTACAAGGAGAAATTTGATGCTGATCACTCTTAGGGCTTAAAGGGTTAACCTTGCTTTATTTCCCAATAATACCTTTAAATCAATTTACAATTATAACACAACTTTAGAGTGATTTTACTTAACCTGTGAATATAGACACTGTAGTAGGTTACTACGCACTACCATTCCGTAACATTAAAAAAACAAATAAAAAAATATATGTATCTATGTCAAAACACTAATTCCATTATATTCTTTTGTGCACTTGTAACTATTTGGCATTAATTGTTAAGTGAAATCACTGTAATATTTTGTAAGCAGCAATTTATTAAAATTACCTTAAGTGTTGTTACTATATAAGAACTATAGGCCTTATATTTCTCTTTCTATCTTGTAAATATTGTTGGCTTAAAAAATGTTCATTTTTGAGATCAAAGAATAGGTTGTTCCATCCTTCTCAACTGATGGTGTGGAGAAGAAGATATATTTGAGGCTTATTTCTTACTTTTCCCCAAAAAGTTAAAAGTTATGAACAGAGGTTACCAGAGTCCTAGAATTATGGTTGTGTGAAAAACCGCTCGTTTACTTCAGTTCTTGATTGGAAATAAATGAAATAAAAACTAAAATGCTTGTACTTGTAGTAGACATGGCGTTTGAAGATATTTAATAAGTCACTTCGTCTTTAAACATACATTTAAAGTCTTGACAACTCTGACAAGTCGGTGTCTGCGAGAATATTATCAGTATTCAGTTTTGTAGGATTCCATCGACCATTTGCAACAAAGACTACAATTATGTCTGCAGTAAACAAAAAAGGGCCAATGAATGGTATTTCATTGCATCACTCCTTAAAGTTTCCTGCTCACATCCGCAAGATTTAACTAAAATCTCCAGCTTAATACCTTACACGTAAGTGTCGAAAGTTACCATCAGATGACCCATGTAACAACGAAAACAAAATCAGCAGGAACATGCCTTTACCATCCACAATCCTGACTTATAGTTCTCCAACTTGATTGCAAGCACGCTACATGTGTACAACAAAACAAATGAACAATCCTTTAAAATAACGCCGATTTGGGTGCAAAATATATGCTGTTGTTGAGTCCGCGTGAATTTGAACTGATCCAACGGAACTTCATTTTTCGCTTTTCTACTGGTTCAAAAGGTGCACGTGACGACGGGAGTTACTTTGTGGGAAACTGGTAACTAGTCAGCTCAAACATCAAACATGGCGGGCAACATGGCGGGTAATACGTTCGGTGATCGAGTTTAGACAGTTTAGTGAGTCTGAAAAGCGGTGGTTTTAAGAGCTGAGTGAAATGATCCAAAGCTTTTGAGGTGTCAGCAGCAAGTGAAAAAATTCGCATTGTTTTTTGCAAGAAAGGATGGCCTTACTTACAAAGCTTCAACGAAAGACGTGTTGTAGACATTGTTTGGACTAGCTCAGGTACGATGGCTTTACTTACAAAGCTTCAACGAAAGAGATATTGTAGACATTGTTTGGACTAGCTCAGGTACGAGAAGACACTTTGAATTTCCCAGTTGCTTACTACACTTGTGGGTCAAAAGCTTTTTTTTCCGATAAGAAAATTTCACGCAAAACATTTCAGAATTTATGAAGCTAACTTTGCGATCGCTGAGGTACATGTAGACTTCAGTATTATGGACAGTGAATAGGTAACTCGAGCAGAGGCCCTTCGATCTTCCTAGGTAAATCGCAGCTATGGAATCCAAGGCGTGTTGTGTACTAAAGAGTGTTGTATGTGATCAGGCAAATCAACTGAAGAACGGACATTTAGGCAAAATGACTTCAATGCATTAACAAATTACTATGCATCTGGTTTGCATACACTGAATAGGGCCGGCAGTCCCACATTATTTTAAAATTTGATATGATGACAGAGAATATGAACAACAAGACCTTCAGTCTTCAGAGAACCAGAACATTACCTTCCTAACTCAAAATGGTGTTGGATCATAAAGTACAACTTTAAGTTACAAGAGATTGAACCAAACAGCATAATAAATTTTTACTAAGGGGAGTCTATGAAGCTATTTCTTTGGACTAACAAGTTACTGTTTTTAATCACACAATTTTTTTTTTTGGCCTCAGTATGTGTCATAATGAACTTTATTGACCTAAGTTTACAGATCTGGCAAGAGCTATTACGAATTAATAAATGTGTGCAACATTTCTCTAACGCATTGATGTCTACTTTTGTGCTACTGTGAGTTGGACACTTTCAAGGGTTTTTAATTGTGCCTTGATGGGAATTTCATGGGCTATTAGAAATTTCATCACCCATGAAATACATGCTAGGCTGTAATTGCCTTCTCAGGGGTCATGAAATGTATCAGTCTAAAATATATGAGACTTTCATGACCCATGAAAATCCATATTCATGGCTTTGTAAACTTTTCATGGTTCATGAAAATAACTGGTAAAGAATTTCATGGAAATTTCATGACGAAATTTAGCACCATGAAATCCGAAATCGCCGTTTTCATGGCCATGAAAAAAGTTCATGGGTTTTTCAACAAATTTTCATGGGATTTTCATGAAAAAGAGATTTGTAGTGTAAGTGGTTGTACTCTATTTTTTTGTTTTCGTTTTCGTGGTTATTTTCCTCTCATTTTCTGTTATTCAAAGCTATCGTAGCATGTCAATAAAGAATTTCTTTGAGTGTCAGATTGCTGTAAATGAGTTGATAAATTTTTCCCACCAAATTAGGTCTTACTTATTCTGGCAATATGGGCCGTAATAACGAGTTCAATCTCTTGTCGTTAAATGTTCGTGGGATTCGCACTTTTGAAAAGCGGAAAGCTGTTTTTAGTAGGCTTGTAAATTCCGATGCCGACATAATTTTTCTGCAAGAAACATACAGCACTCGAGATATTGAAAATATCTGGAGAAAACAATGGAAACGTGAAATGTTCTTCTCGCATGGCAGCAATAATAGCAGAGGTGTTCTAGTACTGATAAAGGATTATTTAGATTTCAAAATACATTCTACCAAGGTAGATTCTCAAGGTCGCTACATTTTTCTGGAGGCTTATATTCAGGATTCGCCTTACTTTCTTTTAAACATTTACGTTCCAAATAAGTGTTGCGAACAATTTCTCTTCTTCAAAGACGTATCGGATATTCCAAAAAGTGCGAGAGTGGAACAAGATCACCCATTTACAGTCGGTGGGGACTTTAATATCATTCTTGACCACGTTTTAGACGAGCAGGACGGGAATAGTAAAAGGAAAGACTCTGGAAAAGTTGTCGAAGGCATGTCCACTGAGCTTGATTTAGTGGATATCTGGCGCATAAGAAACCCAACAGTTACACGTTTTACTTGGCATCAAGAGAAACCAATCATACAAAAGCGGTTAGATTATTGGCTCGTAAGCGATAGTTTACAAGATGACATAGATTCAGTGGACATTAAAACGTCAATTAAGTCAGACCATTCAGCAATTCTTTATAAATGGTTTAGATGATCTTGAAAAAGGACCTAACTTCTGGAAATTTAATTCAAACCTTGTAAATGATTCGGCTTATTGTGAACTTCTAACCACTGAGTATGCCAATTGGCTGGAAGAATTCAAAGAAGTACAAGATAAACGTGTCTTACGGGATTTAATTAAATACAAAATTAGACAGCAAACAATCAGATACAGCAAAACTAAAGCCCGCGAAAGAAGAGCGAAACTACCAAACCTAGAGGAAGGTTTAAAGGAATGTGCAGAAAAATGCGATTCCGATCCAAATACAAAATATCTGGAGGAACTCGAGTGTCTTCAGACGGAATATGATAGTATGTGTGATTACATCACACAAGGTGCGATCATTCGTTCTCGGGCAACTTGGTACGAATTCGGCGAGGGAAATAACAAATATTTCTTGAATCTTGAAAACTCCAATAAAAAGAAAAGCACCGTGCGGAAATTCTTTAACTGGGAGGGAAAGTTAACTACAGACCCTAAACAAGTAATGAATGAGTTAGAAGTATTTTATTCTGACCTTTATGATGGTAGTACATGTGTAGACATGGGGTCTTTTTCCTCATTTTTAAGTGATCTCAATGAAATTCCCTCTTTAGTAGAGGAGAAGGCAAATTGGGATACGGAGAGTGTTACAATGCTTTGCAGACCTTCCAAAAGAATAAATCACCCGGAAACGACGGCTTAACCGTTGAATTTTACCTTGCTTTTTGGTCCGTGTTTGGGAGTTTGTTGGTGCAAAGTCTAAAATATACCTTTGAGTATGGAGAGCTTTCAAATTCACAGAAACAGGCTGTTATAACTTTAGTTGAAAAAAAGAGGAAAAGACAAAAGGCAAATAAAGAATTGGCGTCCAATATCTCTTATTAATGTGGATGCAAAAATAGCGTCCAAGACCTTGGCCAAGCGATTGGAAAATGTGCTACCCGAAATAATTCACTTTGATCAGAGCGCCTTCGTCAAGGGGAGAACTATTTTTGATGCCATCAGAGCAATTGACGATGTGATTGAGCATACGATGAACAGAGATATATCGGGGATCTTAATGGCAATAGATTTTGAGAAAGCTTTTGATTCCCTCAATTTTAGTTTCCTTATAAGAGTCTCACACGCATTTAACTTTGGTCCTTATTTCATTCAGTGGGTACGAGTCTTGTATAATAAGGTCTCCAGCTGTGTTATGAATAATGGTTTTACTTCAGGACCTTTTTCTCTAAGTAGAAGGGTAAGACAGGGGGATCCTCTTTCTCCCTATCTTTTCATATTGGCTTTGGAAATCTTAGCTATTAAGATAAGAAACGATAATAACATACAAGGCATCAGGATAGGGGAAAAAATTGTTAAACTCACTCTTTTTGCGGATGATATGACCTGCTTCATTAAAGACGTTAGGTCTTCTCAATCCTATTCGAAACCCTGGGGGCTTTCGGAGCGTTTTCAGGGTTAAAAGTAAATAAGGATAAAACCGAAGCATTAGCGTTAGGAAATAGTGGATCTCTCTGGGAAGGGCATTCGGTCATGAATAATCTTTGTGACATCATCACGATTCTAGGTGTTTATTTTGGTGGTGACGCTAAAAAAAAAGAGAAGAACTGAACTTTTGGAAGACTCTAGAATCAATTAAGAAAACGATTAACTTGTGGAAATGGCGAGACCTATCTCTTATAGGCAGGGTACAAATTGTTTACGAATGAGACACTTTTTCCTTTTGGTATGGCTGAATCAGATATATGTGTTTTCTGCCAAACTGAGGTCGAATCCATCGAGCATTTACTTTTTTGCTGCAAAATATCCTCTGGTTTTTGGAAACACGTCTTGTCCTGGCTAAGAGACAACAATATTATTCTTTAGAATTTAAAAGAAGATGATATAATATAATCTTCGGTAAATTCGATGATGGAGATGATTTCCTTCTAGTTAATCATATTTTATTGCTTGGGAAGTACTATATTTATTCACAAAAATGTCAAAAGGGTATGCCCTTCCTTCAGAGATTCATTGCGAGGACTAGGCGTGTTTACAACATTGAACTTTACAACGCCAGGAAAAGAGGCACATTAAGTAAACATCTTAGTAAGCAGGAAAAGTTAATCAATATACTGTGATCTAATTAACAATTAAATATTGTACATAAATATAAAGATAAGTACTTTCTATCAACTTAGATATTGTCTGCTGTAATAGTTTTTTCTTTTTTGTCTATTTGTTTTGTTTTGTTTGTTTGTTTGTTTTTCCTTCTTACTTTAAGTGTACTCTGTAAAATGAAAACTTCAAATAAAGATTAATAAATTACAAAAAAATATATATATTGTTTCCCTGATTTTTAACCCAATAGGAAGATAAAACTATTTCTCGTTCCATGTGTTGTATAATTAGAATAGATTAAGATTTTTGCTTGTACAATTTTCCATGTTGATTTCTGTTTATAGTTGAGGTTTTTAAAAGAGCGTCCAATATTGAAACACCCATGTTATGCATATTAATTGATGTGTTACCAGCCATTATTTCTCCTATGATCAGTTCAAACTTTTTTAAAAAAAGTTTTGGGGTTATTGAAGGACATCACACTGCCACCTCTTTTTCTTCTTATTCCAGAACCTTGTATTCCATCTCTTTTCTTTTCATAATAGTTGATCTACTGGTTTAAGAAAACTCTTGCATCATCTATTCTTTTAATTTCCTGAGCCCTCTCTGCTTCTCCTATCTGACCCTGTTTATATGCGAGAGTAACTCGTGCCTTATAACCTTTCACCTGGTTTCTCCGAAAATTTGCGTTAACTATTACGTTATGAAGATAACTTCTTGTCTTTTGGGGTGTCATTTCAGGCTGACTTAGAAACTTATTAACATTATCACAATCAGCGATTTCCAGGTCTTTCAAAATTTTAGCAGTTCTGTCTTCCTCACCCAAAGCATAGTCAGGAACTTCATCCTCATCATATTCTGGAGGCAAATCTTCTGGCTCCGGTGGTAAATATTGAGGATCAACATAGATTTGTTTTCCTCTTTTTTTCTTATCCGCTAATGATTCTTCATAGGTAGTTGGTTTTGGCACTAACTGCTTATTTTTTTCTGGCTGTATTTCTTCCTCATCAAATAGATCGACTACTTCATAATCAGGAATATCTTCATCGTATAATGGAATTCCATAATCAGGGACTGCCATTTTTCTACCACGTTTTCGTTGAACAGCTGGCAGTTTCAAATTACCCAACGCAACATCATCTAGTTTAGAAGTTATTGGTTTGAATACCTTTTGAAAAGATTCCTGGCTCATTTGTTCTCCCAACTGATTTTTTAAGATTGCATCACGAACAAAATTAATCTTATCACCTAGCTCTGCTTTTCTCTTAACCATTTCCTTCAACTTAAGTAAACTCATTTTTTATACTATTATGTTAGACAAAATTTACAAATCTAATATAAAACCAGCAGTTGAACTAACAGTTAAACTTGTGTAACTAATATGTATATAGAATGAAAACTCTAAACTATGATGTAGAGGATAAACAATCTGAAAGAAATTCCCATTCAAGTCAAGGAAAGTCCCATTCATGCCTGACAGGTGCTTTAGAATGCTTCTTTAATTGTGGTCCTTCAGGTTCGGGAAAAACTAACCTTCTTTTGGATATGATCTACAGATTGCTCTATTTTGACAAGATATACCTATAAGCTAAAAATCTGCAACGGGGCAAGTACCAACACCCGGTAGACTTATTCGAGCCTATTAGTAAAGAAGCTGGTTACCCCGTCCTTGAAGCCAGCAATGACAAAATAATTCCGCTGGATAAGATGTGATGTGATAATCAAAAGCTGGTCATTTTCGATGATTATCTGAACACTGGAGTAAAGAATGATGCTGAAATTAGGAATTATTTCACCAATTCCAGAAATAAAAACTGCAGCTGTATAAGTCAGAGCTATTATGGCACTGATAAAACAATCCGATTGAACTGCACACATCATTGTATCTTTGAATTTCCTTCCAGCAATGAGCAAAATATGATCGGTAGAGAACTAGGGGTCAATAAATCTCACAATCAGAAGGCTCTACGAGAGCGATATGATTTTCTCTATGCTGATAAACGTGTTGCTAAGAATTTTAATGAAAGGATATTTAAGCAATAGACCACACTTTCTATGGGTTTACCGGCGTGATAACCCACGTGGGATGTTGGGAGAACACGAGAAAAGCTTGTAAATCACGAGCCGATAAACCCATAGAAAGTGTGGTCTATTGCTTTTATAAAATAACTTTTAGTAAAACGGAGTCGTTTAGGCAAAAAAATCTTTTAATAGCGTGATCAAATCTTGTCTTCTCTCTAAAGTCACCATAAGCCAATCATAGCTAACGATACAATAGCACCGAAAAAGTAATCAAGCGCCAAGCGCTAATCTTTCACAAAACTTCACAGTCCATCGAACGAGAAACAGCATAACTTCTCACTGACAAGAACAAGTTTTGAACTCAATGGAAACTTTATATGAAAGCTGTTTTACAGGATGTCAAATTTTATGGCTTGTAATTGTAAACATTAACATTCCCGATCGTGCATAAATTGAACAGCTGCTTGAACTCCGAAGTGCTCTGCTGATTTGTGGATATTGAAGTGTTGATGTAAGGAACTTGCAGCTGTTGCAGTGGTGGCCTTACCACGAGCTGATTTGGCGTCTGCTCCTTCGACTGGTCTTCACCGAGAGCTAAACTGAGCACGTCGCTGCATTTACGCTGTTGATGCGCCGACGGCATGTTGTGATAGCTTTGTAGGCTCGACTCGTTGCGATGACCAGATATTGCCATGATCTCACGATTTGTGAGGCCAGCATTTGCCCACAAGGTTATGGCAGTTGCTCTTACTGAATGATTGGTGTAAACACGGGAAAGGTTGGCCGCGGAGCTGATCTCCTTCATCATTGCTGACAGCTTGTTTACTCCTGGCGGCCGATTTTCGTGCCATATCTTCTCAGTTTGCCGCCAATTTCGTTTGGGATATTGGAACAGCGCTTCGCATTCAGGATGCAATTTTGAGAGAAAAACTTCGAGACCAGTGTAGACATCTGTTTTGCTGCTGGTTTTGTACATTCTTGCATTTTTTTCAAAGCTTTCTACGTCTGAAACTCCGCCTGGGTGGTTTTTCGTGCTTTCGTCGTGCGTCATCGACACCAAATCGTCGCCTTTAGCATCAACATCAAATGTAAAACTGCTTCTTTTCAAGCTTCGCTGACCTTCAAATCCACGGCGACACCAAAACAGTGAAATGTGGAACGAAACATTTCTCAAAAGGGACCAGGGCTGGGTAAGTGAAAAAATTTCACTGTTTTTGAGCTTTTCAATATCTTCCAGCTCGATAGCCGGTTTGTGGCTTGTGTTTTGAAGGCCTTCTTTCTTGAGCTGTTTTATTTTTGCGTCCAACATCTGGTTGGAGAGAACAAACTGGGGGTCTTTAGTGAGGGAAATACCACGGTTGTTGGGAGGTGAGTTAAGAAATCTTTCAATGCCATTTCTGAGAGAGAGTAACGTTGCTCTGCTGTAATTTTCTCCCTCCTTGTTACGGGCCTCGGCATAAAATTGGCGAAGACTTTCGTCCAACTCGGTAATTGTCATTTCAGCCAAATTAATACCAATTTCTTTCTGCTTACTCCACTCTGCAGAAATAAAAAATTGACCTCTTAGCTTTAAGAAAGCTGTTGTTCTGAAATAAGCGAAACATATACACGTTTGCGAGACATTTTATTTAGTAATCTCTCTTTTTAAGTAGTTTATAGTTCTGAATCAAAAAGTCTGAAACGCTTCAATAATTTGGTTACGATTTGGTTTGACACTATAATAATGCTAAACATTTGCTCTCAACACCACAATTTCGGTTTGAATTGTTGCTGCTTGTTGTTATTGAATTTTTTTCTGTAATAAAAAATGAAAATAGAGCGAGATTTTTGTAACCAACCTGTGAAAACTGTTACAGCCCACTGCGTTGCCTTTTTAGTTCGCTTCGCCTGAGAAGTATTTACAACGTCGTTGAGTTCTTCTTCGTCCATCTGTGCAAATCTTCTCTTGTTGTTGGCTACCTCATGCTTTTTACCGCTGTTCTTTGCTTCGCTTTCTGGCTCTTGCAAGCCCAGCGACGAAATAATACCAAAATTTGGTAGCTCGTCGTCAGCCATTTTTTCGGGGGTAGAAAAATGTTTCAGTTTTCTATGAGTTTACCGGCACAATAAACCATAGGTTTTTAACCAATCAGAACGCGCGTACTATCTAAGTTATTTTATAAAATCTAATATAAATATGTATGAGTTATTCAAATGGATTACTCAATTTTAAAAGCCAGACTTTTGGTCAGGGTGAGAGAGGTAGACCTGGTGTAGGTTTTAATCTAACAGCAGATGGGAATTATGATATGGTAAACAAAAAAACTGCCAAATGTGGCAGAAGGAACTGTTTCCAGTGATGCCATAACAAAACATCAACTTGATACAGCAATGATTCTGAATATTGATCTCAAAGGTACTTACAATGTCATCAATAGCAAACAGCAGACGTTTAGTGAAATGAATGCAAGTAGAAATACCCATGTGTGTTACGAAGATGTTCGTGATGTGTTCGTGAGCCGTAAGGAATCTGTGTTTCCAATGCAAACTCATTTGGATATGGCAAACAATTATATTTATAATGTCAAAACGCCGGTTAATAATGATCAAGGGGCAAACAATTCTTATGTTGATAATAAGGTAGCCAAACCAGGTGATACAATGTCTGGCCCTCTTAACATGAGTGGTGATAAAGTAACTAATCTCAAATTAGCAACACAAAAAGGTGATGCAGTGGACTTTGAATTCTTCAATAAATATGTAACAGCAGGTAGTAGAGACCATCATAATAACTTTAATTTCAAAAATAAAATATTATACATTATAAAATAACTAAGTTAGTACGCGCGCTCTGATTGGCCGAGAGGAGTGTTTGCATGAGATTATGTAAACATGGTTGTGACGTCAAGATGTTTTGCTTTTCGCGCGCTAATCACGCAAGCACAAATTTGAAAAAGTTTTTGAGTTCAAAACTCGACAAGTTTACTTTATTTACCCATTCCTTCGTCTGCTGAAACTTGGAACATCTTCAAAAACAGGCTGTGTCAATTTTGTTTTCGCTTAAGCTGACATTTAAAGCGAGAAAAATCCGTATTTTCGAAAGCATCTTTTTGCAAAACAAGAAGTGATTATTCGTTCAAGCCTTCGTGTACGCGACTTTGCGACTGGTAAGAATTCCTCTTTTAATCAGTGCCATAACAAAGAGTTTTGCGTTTTCTTGGGAAAGTTATTTTATAAAAGCAATAGAAAACTTTTTTCCTGTGTTTTCACAGCCTGATTTAAACACTCGAGGGGTTGGGAGAATTCGAGACAGTTATGAAAACCCTCGACTTCATCTCGGGTTTGCATAACTGTCTCGAATTCTCCCAACCACGCTTGGTTTATATCAGGCTATGCAAACACGGAAAACGTTTTCTATAGCTTAAATGGACTGATCTTCTTGGAGATAGTTTTGACATCTCTAAAATCGATAGTTTAATGGTAGCTTGTAAACCAGCCTATTATAATTATACGTTTTAAACATCACTCCTGAGACACCTGAGGTAAACAGTACTCTCAGACGCTGTTTATCGTACAATCCTCCGACAGAATTTTCTTTTTTCGATATTTTTTTACCCTATTTAACCCTCGGACATACAAGAGGGCGGTGGGGATAGATGCCAACCCCCCCCCCCCCCCATAAGGTTTTTCTGGGATTTCCCCTAGAAGATAAAACATCACCACCTGACGTTTTTAGTAGCTGTTAGTTTATCCCTCGCACAGATTTTAGGTTTAGTGATGATCAGTTGCTATGGTTACGAGATATGACGTCATACGTAGCAGGTGGTCAAGCCAATTAACGGTGAAAATGCATGTTTTCTTTTTTCAACTTCTTTCCACAATAAAAGTAAATCTTTTGGCTTATTTATGTGTTATTTTTCATGTAAAGCACAAAAAATGGCCATTTCTCGCGGCTTTAACCTAATTTCTAATTCTTGGTAAAATCCAACATGGCGACCATTGTTGGTGACGTTAAAGGCCTCCAGCAGCGTAACCACCCATAAAATATACCTCATCTTCTTAGGAAGATCAGGGTTAAACCTGTAATTCTGCAGTTTTTAACAATTTTTCAAGACAAAATTAATTGCACATTCAATATTCAGGACGATCGAAGCACTTACGCGGCTTCCCTTCCACAAAAAATTCTGGAATTGATCACATTTTTAAACGTTTTTATGGAGAGAATTCGGCAATATAGGGACTGTTCAGTGATATCAATCTCCTCCTAAATATACAGTATTTTCAAAATCACTCATA